CTTACGAATTCATTAAGTAGTAAAACAATATCCAGGAGGGCTATGTTGTTTGATGAATTACTTCGTTCTTTCAAAATAAGAAAAGACCTATTATAATTATGAATCAATTCTTTACAATGAGACACTACGTTATTTTGTTGATCGACTCCTACTTAATGCGTATATTTTTACCGACTACAAGAATATAGAGGCGTCAGACAAAATCAAACAAATATTAGAAAATTTTGAAATTAAAAAAAAACGAAAAACATTAAAGTAGATAATTGATCTTATAGAGTTCAATTAGCTTATGTTCAAATTTAATTGAAATCAAAACTAAATTTTGTAAGATATAGAGTTCATCACTTTTTTCAATGCAAATTTGACAATTATCTAGGAAGATATAGGGTTCGTCACTGTGTTCTATAAAAATCTAGGTAACCTAGTCGTGGATGTGGGTGTGAGTATGGGTATGTGAAAACGAGAATATACATATCAACACCTTACACCCACACTCACCCTTTTTAACCGAGTACCTTTAAGTCCTGAGTCAACATTAATTATTTATCTAATATTAATGAAACAAAAGATAATTCTTCAAGTAGTTGAATTTGTAAATAATTCTTTGAGATTTTTACTTATCAACGCATGATTTTATTTTTCTGTTTGTTTTTCACTTCTTTTTCTCTAGTAAGTTTTATTATATGATTCGCTTTTATATTTCTATTTCATATAAATATAATATCACCTGTCTTTCTCTTTCTCTGACATCACATTAAATAATTCTAATTGTTGAGTAGGACATTGGTTAAAATAGTGTATGATTATTTTGTAATTGAAATAAAAATTGCTCCTGAAACTATGACTAATATCGATTGTAGACTCGTAGAGAAACAAATCAATCAAGTAGCATCCTTAAAAAGTTTGAAAGTATTCTAAATTTCTTCAACTTATAGTCCTGCTACCTGTTTTTAAGTTTCGTTTACTTCACAGTTAATACTATACAACAATTTATATTAATGAGTTTTGTCAAGACAAACTTGAGCAAAATAAAAAAATTTTTAGATGCATTACTAAGAAAGAGTCATATGATTGGCATGAGAACGGAATATGAGAAATGTTTCATTTATATTATGAATGTTTATGTTCGTGTTATACACGTGTTTCATAGCTTTTTCATGCATTTCAATACACTTCGTACTTTTTTCACTATATATACAATCAAATATAAAAAAATGATTTCTTCTTTGAAAATATGTTTTGATAAACATATTTTGTTATGCATTTCAATTGATTTGTTTTTGATAAATTTGAAGTGCTTATTGCTGATTGGGTGTGTAGTTATGTTAATTTTCTATAATTTTCGCTTTTTAGTTGTATATGAAACATTGCTTAATGATAAAATGCATTGTTTCAATTGAAAATATTTAGAGAAAGATAAATTCATTCATTGTTTTTATTGAAAACCATATTGAACTCTTCAGTACATAATTCCTTTCAAATTTAGTTATTGCTGAACGTTCTTTTATAAAATCATATGACATACACTGTTGAGCGCAGAAAATTTTTCAAAAAAAAAAGCCATTCAAATATCTGATTCATGTTCGAAAATAAATGTAGGCAAGTACCAACATCAAACCTTTTGAATTTTGGACTTTAGTCTTTCATCTTGACTGTATGTACTGATCATTGTACAAAATTAGTCTAGTTTGATTAACAAATGCCACATAATAGTACTAGGAAAGAGCAGTTACTATTGTACTGTCGTAAGTAAAGTTAGAACCAGATTCGGCAATTTTTGGTCTCGATTTATCTTACGAATTGTGTTGCCTTTCTAAGTAATTGATGTAGATGCAGTATTTCATTCTCTATCCAGTGGTGTCACTTTCAATAGGGTTCATAGGGCAAAAAATAGGAATTCAGCATCAAAACCTGGATGTTTGATGGTATGGATGGTTGTTGACATCCTGTCTTTTTAAACCCGAATTGTCACATCTCCACGCATATGCTCTGCACAATGTTTCAAAGGAATGACAAGAGTACATATGAATGCTGGTAGAACATAGGATCCTTGCAAGAAAGTCAAATAGTATTAATGCGCGAATTCTATAAAGATAAGCTGGAATAGATTCGAAGTGTACAAGACGACGAATTCATAACAACAATGATCGACTTCAATCATCAAAAGTCTCAAAACAAAACGAACAATCGATCGTTCTGTGATCGATTCGTTTTCATTATTTCAACAAGATAAAAATCCTAGAAGAACTTCGAAGAAAAAATGAATCGATTAATGCGATTTCGAGAAAATTTCATCGATCATAATCAAAGACAAATACTATTTTGTAGATATTTTTTGCCTTTTGATTTGAAAAAAAGTCCAATGGCGAACGATTACAGTTTATGTGAATAGAAAATGATTAATAAAATTTCGATTTGATTTTGTTTATAGAAGACCAATATTCTCTAACAGCAAGTTTAATTATTACAATATTTAGAAAAAAAACGAAAGAAAATAGGTAAATTACATGTTTTCACAGTGATCGTCAACATATCATAAGAAGGCTGTGATAATTTTTTTTAAACGTGGTTACATGTCACGCATGAAAAATCAAGCGTGTGAAATGTGAAATAATAAATAGATGAAACAAACAGAACGTCGTAGCTATACGAAGAAGAGAAATAACGAAATCATTCTTCTACTATTAGATTCAATTCAAGTGAGTAAGTGTCAGATGATTACAGTAGTTATGATGCTGAACTCATTACATTTTTTCTTTTTTTTTTCAAATTAGGTATATTACAATGAGCGCCAATAAAGAACTTACTGAAGAGCAAATATCGGAAATTAATCGTTCCTTTCATAACCTTGATAAAAATCAAAGTGGATATGTAAACAAATCTGAAATCAAAGAACATATGAAAAAAACACATCTAGAAGATCTGGATGCAGTAGTTGATCATTATCTACGAAAAATGGATCAAAATACAGATGAACAAATTAGTTATGATGAATATCTCAAGTTTATGACGGCTATCTATCTTGGTGAACACAAAAACTTAAGAAAACAATGAATGAATGTAGTTATGGTCGATGAAAAATCCTAAGCTCCTTAACTTTGAAGCAGTTCACTAGTAGTTTTCATACGAGATGTTTAACAATATTGTAATCTTTTTCTTCTCTTAGTTGCTCCTTAGTATTTTAAAATTTTATCAATATAAAATAAACAAAGTTGCTTGATGATGCTTTCCCTAAACAAAAACCATACTGAAATCGATCTCGACATGTCTATATACTCGATTATTTAGCAATCATTACATCAAACTCTGGCACAGGAAGGCTGTTGTGTGGGTGCGAGTGTTCTGTTTACTTACACCCGCACCCTGATATCTATCCCGCAAAGCCAATCTGTGTCATAGGTGCCAGCCTAAAATCTATTATTGAACGGCACAACTCAATTCTTTCAAAATAATCATTAACATACTGATCAAAACTCAAAAGTTGCTTATTTTTACATTAATACAAGTTGAAAAACTACTATTCCCTGCACACATTGGTCTAGAAAGCTGCCCATGTGATGAAAACCGACGGTTTACCACTAAAAGTGATCCGGTTTGCGCAACATGAGTGTCTTGTGGAAATAAAGCATCGTGCCAGATTCAGAATTGAATTTTATATCGACCAGCATATTGCTCACATTTCGAAAGGTCATTCAAATTCTAAAAAATCGAAAACCAGTTCCCATTAGGGGTGTTACTTTCACTTAACTTTAAAAATTAAAGTTAAAGTGGTACTTTAAACTTAAAACTTTAAAGTTTAAAGTGATACTTTAAACTTTAAAAGTTAAAGTTTAAAGTGGTACTTTAAACTTTAACTTTAAAAGTTAAAGTTTAAAGTAATACTTTAAACTTTAAAAGTTTAAAGTTAAAGTAACGCACTTTAAACTTTAACTTTAACTTAACCAATTAAAGTTAAAGTAGNATAATTATGCAACGAGTGAAATTCAAAATTTCTTGAATCTAAATATTATTAATATTTAACCAAATAGAGATCAATATAGCACATGATAGATGCTTTAGCGGTGTCTATATATATGGCATTAGATCCCTTATCAAAGCTTCTTTAGTTGGTGAAAACTTTATTATTCTCAAACTTGTAGGGGGGGGGGGTCTTATAATTTTGGGAACCCCTGTATAATCGTGTACAAATCGCCGCGACCATGGTGTTTTAGAGTTTACATTTCAGGTGTAGGATACAGTTATAGAGAATACGTCAAAGGAGAAATGGGGTATAGGTACAGGATGATCTATTTTTACGGATATGGCTCAAGAAAAATAGAAATAGGCTAAAGGAAGCGGAATAGTATTAGCAAGTACTTTTAGGAATATCGATGAAGGAGAGGGAAAATAGATTTTAAAAATATTCCTTCGTACTTTTGTATTGCAGAATTTTGTGTTGGAGAGAGACATCAGTGAGAAAAATATGTTGTACTTAAGCCAATGCGGTCTAACTCAGTCGCTCATCATTTATTTTCAAAAGCGAGGATGTAGTAGGTGTGACCGATGATGTGTCCGTGAAAGTATAAGTGTGGATGAAATGAACACACTGACGCCAATATTCACAACATCATTCATACATACACATCTACACTCGACATCCTACCTCCACATACTCTAGATGCTGACTGCCATAACAACAACATGGGCAAGGAGGTGCGTTCACAACTCAGGTGGATGCATACTATATATCGTTGCATATATTCTTTGTAGGAATATATAAGTTGTTTAAAAATGTCCTAGAAGCATTTCTTTTGTGAGACTTTGAAATATTTTTTTCGAGATTGCTATTCTATGTTATTTTATAGTGTTGTGAATATTGTCTTTTATTGTTTTTACAGAATCATATCTATTATTGTGAGTTTCAACTCCTAAAATCAGCGATACTTCAGAAAAACGTCGCTTGCTACAATCTACCGGTCATTGTGTCTCCTACCTGTAATTATCAATAGTGATTCTGTGATATGGCATATCAAGATGATCAAAAACATGAAAAGTTAGGCTGCATCCAACTAGTTCGCTGTATTCCACCAACGGATGAAGAACGAAAGAATCCTCAATATGTTCCTCAGTTAGAAATTAATTCACGAGCACAACAGATTATTGCTGAACACTTTGAAGCACCCATTTCTATTATTGTCTATGTAGGCAATATGGGCGTTGGTAAAAGTAAACTGGCAACAGTTACTGCAGCGGCTTTAGAAAAAGAGTCGCCTAGAACAGATTCACTCTGGTTTCGAAGTGGGGCCGGTACTAATGGAGTAACACATGGTGTTTGGATGTGGTCCGAGCCACTTCGACATCCTGATCAAGATGAAAAAACAAAAGGTTCAATTTTAATCCTCGACTGTGAAGGAACGGATAGTTTAGATGAGAACACGGGAGCTAATTTGTATTTTTTCTGCATGATTGTAAGTACAGCATTTGCTGTCGTCCTTCGTCCTGCTCGTATAGATCAGTTTCAATGTGATCGTCTCTATGATGCATTAAATCGATTTGAAGTCATGAAATCATTGCATGTCTTGCCAAACATGTGGCTATTACCATTAGATCTACCCACGTTTTTACACATTGATCGTGATACTGGTGACGATATCGAAATTTCAAAAGACGAATGGCTTCATCGAATATTCAGTGTTGACGAGGAGCGCAACAATTTATCAAGTGCTCACTGTCAAACACTGAAAGAACAATATGAATATATCACACATATGTTACCACAAATAGACACAATCAACATTGGCTATTTACCACAGGTGTTGATGACAAACAATCAATTACTTGACGTATATACATTGCTTCGGATGGAAGAATCAGAAGTATATTTGAAATCGATCAATACTGCAATTAGAGTTCTTCTAAAATCTGGAGGGAAGCGACTATTTGGAAGCGACGCCGAAAATTTGTTTATTCAACCAACTGAGTTTGCTGAGTTCATGGGCGAACTTATCAACGTCATTAACCGTGATAAGCTCCCGAATCCTAATAAACTCATCGAACAGTACTTGGTGAATCGGTTTACTGCTGTAATTGAGGAAGAGTCATGGGTAAGATTCAAATGTGATTTATTGCAGCGTGCAAAAGATGTGACTTGCGAAGCGCAGAAACCGCTAGAAGCACAAATGGAAAAAGTACTAAGGATGGATGAAAAGATGCGACAATATTGTACAGATCTTGTGCTAACTTCTTGCGATGATATGATACGCCGTGTACGACATGAGATAACTGGGCATGATGTATCATTGTTGCCTGAGGTCGAAGATGAAAAACAACAACAAGATGCTATTTTTTCTCTGCCCATATCGATCCAAGATTGTTTGAGCAACATCGAGACAAAGATGAAAAATTACCAAGAACCGATAATAATCATCGAAGAAATACAACAGATCGTCATTGAGAGGTGGCGGTCTTGGACTCATGAGACCAAAAGATTACTAGATGAAGCTTATGAAAAATTGAATGAAAAAAATGACGAAGATTATCATAAAAATCAGATAAATGAGTCTCTGATGATAAATGAGCTATGTAAAGACACATTACCACCATGTTCAGAAATAAATCCTTGCGTTTTCGAAAATATATATGATGAAAATCCTATTAATACATCAATAGATCGAACACTTGAATATGTGTATAAAGCCAATGAGAATAATGATGATATACCGAAACTATTTATTGGTCTTCCTGATCCAGCAATCGAATGGAATGATGTCGATCCATGGAATAATAAATACCTTCTGCATATTATCTGTGAATGTTCAAGCGAAGAGATGCATTTCTCCACTTATCCAGGTTATTCTATACCAAATCCTCGTGTTTTCTTTGAGAAATACCAAAAATATTTGAATGAATTCATGGTGCCACTTGTCAAACACATTATTCAAAGATACAATGACGAAAATAGTTGCACTGTATTTTCGCAAGACTACAAAAAAGGCTTGGAAAAAGTAGAAAAAATCTTGAATATGTCAAAAACAGAAGCCTGTGACGAAGTTAATACTGCGCAACTATTAAATTATTTGGCTGTACCTACTCAGAGAGTTTTTACTGATTTGTATCGATTTGTCAATAATGATGGTTCTGTCCGTTGGCTATGTAACAAACATTATCCAGAAAAACAATTGGATCTAATTAGACAACTCCACAAGAATGGAATCGAATTCGACAAGCGATTAGGACTTTTATACGTGCATCCTGGTAAAATAATTGATTTGATTCTATGCTTAAACTGTGGATTGAACTATTATGCATTATATTTGGTCGATGTTCGTTTTCCATTCGATTCGAGTGAAGTGCTAATTCATGCTCTTTGGCAAAGACCACCCAAGAAGATTTATGTTAACAGTTCTTGGCCATTGAACTGCAACACAACTGATCAACTAAATCACATAGAATATAAATCAAGAAATTTCAAAGACGAAACTAACGTTAATCCATTAATCAAATGGTTATCCTCGATTAAATGTCTAGTTTCACTTGGCCTACCGAAATTGATAATATCTGAAGAAGAAATGAAAGATTTGTTTATCTTCTTACAAAATAGTCCGATTTTGAGAAAAGTCGAATTTGGACGAAGAAATTTTGAGTTCGGTAAAACAATTGCGACTGAAGTGAGTGCACTGCTTCGTACAAGCCGAACATTGACACATATTGATTTCTCATGGTTGAATTTGGATGATGAATGTATGACAATAATTGGCAATGGTCTCTGTCAGTCGACTCAATATACATTAAAGGACCTAAGCTTAGATTTCAACAAAATAACAGATAAAAGCAGTTCGATCCTCTGTGAGATTACTAAGAAATGTCGACTTACTCGATTTTCACTAGCGCATAACAAACTGTCGCTCAATGGTATTCAATCGATAATCGAGACACTTTCCATAAATGAAACTATTCTTCACTTTAACATCGCGACTTCGAACTGTGCGATGGAAGAAAACAATAGATCTGAAGCCAAAGTAGGGGGTGCGATAGCGAAGATGTTATGTACCAATAGAACTCTAATCGATCTGAACATTTCGGCAATTCGACTAAATGAGAAAGATATCGAATTAATAGCCCAAAGTTTGAAGACAAATCAGGCACTGACTCGCATTCATTTAGGTGACGATAACTTTGAAGATACTCATGTTGAGCAATGGACGAATGCTTTGCGCATGAATACATCACTCTTTCATATTTCGCTTTGTGCAGTAAGATGCAGTTCAGCTGGAATCGACTGTTTAGAAAAGTTTTTTTCAGAAAATCGTACTCTTAGAGAATTAACAATGTCTGAATTTCGCCTGTCTGATGCTAGTACCATTATGTTCGGCAGCGTTTTTTTGATGCATCAAACACTTAATCATCTTAATCTTTCAAACAACCGCGAATTGATAGGCGATGAAGGTGCTCGAACGTTAGCTGATATGCTTCGAGTCAATAAAATTCTGACTTATCTAAATATTCGTAATAATTGCATTAGTAATAATGGTGCACAAGCCATTGCCGACAGTTTGTTAAAAAATTCGACACTAACTGAGCTTGATATCTCTGATAATAACCACATAAATGAGACGGGATTCGAACTATTCGCTACAACGTTGCTTGGAAACAAAACACTGCTCTTTCTTACGACTGGCTATAGAATGGCAGACACAGTTAAACAAATGCTTCAGAATTCACGAGCAAATTTAATTGTTTACAAACAATAACTGTATGTACTCTTATTCTCGGCTTTATAGTACCAACCATTTTTGTAAGCAACAATCGATTTTTTGCTTTTCATCTCTAGAAGTACTTTAAAGTGTATGGTGCCGATCTTCACAAGAACGAGACATTGATCTCCGAACATTTATCTTGAAAAATCACGTTTATGTTTTATATTGTGACATACTTCGAGGTGTGTGGGGGTATGAGTGAGGGTGAGGTATGCGTGTGGGTAGGATTTTGGTGGGGTGCGGGTGTGAGTGTGGGTGACTCTGTGGTGAGTTTAGGTGCGGCTAGGTATAAATTCAGCATGACCCGCACACCCACGCGCGTACTCTACCTGAGACCTCACAAAGCCGATTTACAACTCCTGCTACAGACGTCGTTTTGAGACGAGTGTGACTTTAAATTAGTTAATATTTGCTATTCATATCATACATAATATCGGAATACTTTTGATGGCAGGAAAATAATCACTATAATACGATAATAATGCAACACAAACTTTGTGATACTATTTAACAATAGAAAACTTCTCTGAATATCCACAAGTAACGCTCATCGGCAGGACTCGCTTAAGGGGGGGGGGGGGGGCCTGTCACCCTAAGTGCCCCTTTTTATAGGCTCCTTAGATAGAGGATAGTTTTTTACATATATTCTAAAATTTTTACGTCCTTTGGTTCAAATTTGACCAAGTAATTAAATCTCAGAAAAAATAA